ATAGTTCCTACATAGAAAGGAAATGTTGTCCACAAGATTGCACAGGTGTGGATTGAAAACTGAGAGACTATGAAAAGCTAACCTCAAACAGCACAACAAAGCCAGAATTCCGTCAGGAGTTGTGCTGGACACAGGCAGACAGCACTATGAAAGTGGGTGCAGAGTGTGGAGCTAGGAGCCTGAGGGTTGCTGACTGCTCCCCAGACCCACCCTTCCATTCTTCATAGTGCAGTGGTCAGACGTTTCTGCCTAACTAACTGGGCTGAGAAGTGCCTGGGAGAACATCCAGCAATGTCTGGGTGTATCTGAGGGTATCTCCAGAGAGAGCTAAAGAAGCAGAGGTGAAGAGGAGTGGGTACCCTACAGTGCGGGGGAGGGCCCGATGGAAGGAAGGAGAGAGGCAGGCCAGAGGCACAGGTGTTCCCTCCCTCTCTCGCTGCTCCCTGGCAGCCATAACAAGCTGCCCTTCTCGACCACGCCCTCCCTGCCGTGATGGAATGAGAACCTAAAACTGTGGGCTGAAATAAATTCTTTCTCTTTAAATAGTTTCCCCCATTAATCTGGTTACAGAAATGAAAAATCGTCAGTAAAGGTTTTTAGCAACTAGGCAGCATGTGTCCATGTTGTCCCTCCTGGGCAGGGAGGATATTCAGTCTAAATTCTGGCTAAGAGAGCACAAGAGAAAATAATTTCACACATAATTCTGTGTGGAGGAAACTTTCCTTCTCTACATTTCTCTCTTCTCTTACCATCCAGTTGGAACAAAGATATCAACAGCAAATCCGTGAAAGACAGCCTTCTAAGAGCCAGAGGAGTCACAATATGGGAGGAACCTGGGCTCTTAACTAATACACACAACCAAGCAAACCCAACCAGAATGAACTGTTGGGCTCCCTTTATTACCATAACTAATATCTCTCAATATGCAACTGGGGGAAAAATCATTTGGGATAAATAGAGAAAAGAAAACGTAAACAAAACAGAAAATAGGTTCGTAGCTTTGAGCTCAGTCTAAGAGCCAGGACAGCCTGAAGAAGCCCCTCAGCATGGAAGGTTCACAAAAAAATTCAGACACCATGCAGCAAATGGTGAATTGTGAAAAACTTTTTTAGAAATCAGCATCTTTGTGGAAGGACACTGGTGAAGGTTTCTGTCACGCAGGATGCAACAGATTATTTTCATGAGCCAGATCAACAAAGCACATCCTGCCAGAACTACATCCTACCCTTGATAAACGGAACCAGAGACTGGGGTGGATTTCTGCTACCTCTGCCATGCACCAGAAAATGGCAAGCCATGCTCAATGGGATGTCATTTTAAATAAAAATGTTTTAAGCATCAAAATTCAAGACATCCCAACTTCAGCTTCCTCTCACGGTACTCCAAATCTGGGGGAGGGGATCTCACTTAGGCTTATCTTGAACTGCATACTTTATTCTGAACTCCAACTGCTAACATAAAATGATTTGGGTAAATCTGTATGTAAATCTGAATTCTGTGGACTCAAACATTCATCCAGTGACTATATCTTAGGCATAACATCTATGGGGAGCATCAACACACAATTGCGTCCATTAGGAAGGAGACTAGTGCAAGAGACTCACCCTGACTCATGGGGATGGGGTACAGGCTGCATAGCAGATGGTCCCCCATTCCAGGGGCAGAAGGCCCAGAAGGAGATTCTGGAAAGAACATCTGATCCCAGCCCAGAGAGAGAAATAGAGGATGGTCAGAACAACAGGAGGAGCAGGGAGGTGAGAAGCAAGGTGAAGAAGAAAGGATAGGGTTAGAGGTTAGAGGGTTAGGGTGAGTCCTGTGATGAAGGTAAAATGAAGGAGACACTTGGGGGGACGGGCTTAAGGCCTGGTAAACAATCATGTGGCTAGCCTGAATTTACCCAGAGGGTATCAGGAGGAGAGGTGGGGTTCTGACAGCAGGATGACGTTGTTGTTGCACAATGTGGAAGACCCGGGGGAAGACACGATGAAAGCCAGGGAGGTTAACAGAAAAGCGCAAGTGAAAACCAAGGTGGGGACAGAGAGAAGAGACGGCCAAGCCAAGGACAAGAGGTAGAACCTTGCTTTGTTTTTTACTAACTAAACTACACCTGCAATTATTCTGCCATAGGATTACAAGTTAGTGTTCAACTTCAGAAGGAGCAAGCCATAAAACGCTGTTCCCCAAACTTTTAGAAGTGTTCAGTTGACACAGTGGGATTATTTTAGTGAGGAAGCCCTTTATGTTGCTGTAGAATGCACTTCTGGATTTAGAAACTTTCTGACTTTGGAAAAATAAAATAACACATACGCTTTATATCACACAACCTCAGTAGTCTGGGACACAGCCTCAGATGTGGGTAAGGGTTAGAACATGGCTCAGTTGGTGCATCATTAAACCTTGGTATTCTGGGATACAACCTTAGATGTTGATAAGGGTTAAGGATACGTCTCAGTTGGTGAAACACTTGCCTTGCAAGTGTAAAGACCTGAGCTTGATCCCCAGAACCCACAAAAGGATCTCGGATGCTGGGCACGGCAGCACATGCCTACAATCCCACAGCTAGGGAGGCAGACAAGAGGATACCTAGGGTTTGATGTTCAGCCAGCCTAATCTAATCAGTGAGCTTCTGGTCAATGAGAGAGTCTATCCTAAAGGAGGTGGATAGAACCTAAGGTTGTTCACTGACCTCCACAGACTTGTGCACAGCGCACGCACACACACAGACACAACACACACACACACACACACACACACACACACAGCTCTTTTTTAAGGAGGGGATAGGAAGACGGCTATCAGGAAAGAGCTTGCTGTGCAAACATGAAGACCTGAATTCAGATTCCCAGAACTCACGGGGAAAACCATGTACAGTAGCACACAGCTTAACTCTAGCACCAGGGAGAAGAGAGAATCCTTGCAGCCCGGATCCAGCGAGAGACCCTGTCTTGAAAATTAGAGTAGAACCAGGTGGTGCACAGCACTCAGGAGGCAGGAACACAGTCACGCAGGAAAGCTCAGCAGCCTGGGCATGGTAGTGCATGCCTGCAGCCCACTCTACAGGAAAAGCTAGGGCAACAGGACCCTTGAGTTGTATGCCAACTTGGGTGTATAACAGACCTTATGCCAAACCACCAAAACCAAGAGAGCAGGGCGGAGCCAGGGAGGAACTTCAATCATATGAAACCAAAGCAGATAGACGGATTCTTCCATATCAGAAACAAACGCAGTGACATCACCAAAAGAGAAAAACAAAAAATCCCAGTGGGAAGTCAAGACAAAAAGCAGTTCCCTGCTCCCTTCCGTGAGCCTCCTTATCCCCACCCAAGGGGACATGAGAGTCCCCGCATCAGGGGCTGTACCAGGAACAAAGACTGTTTCTAGAATACACGTTTTACATTTAAGAACTTAATCCTCTAAGAACCTAAACAGGACCCCAAAATGGACACCAGAGAGAACTATGCCACCATCCAAAGGGCTGAACTGGAGGTCAGGGTTGTAGCTCAGTGGAAAAGCGTGTGCCTAGCGTGCTCCAGGCCCCTGTTCAATCCCCGAAACCAAAAAGAATGAAGGATAGCACGATGCAATAGCATTAAAGATGTCTGTATGGCACTGACTCGCCTGGAACTCACAGAGAGCCACCTGCCTCTGCCCCCTGAGTGCTGGCATTACTAGAGAAAAGACAAAACAAAACAAAAACCCTTTTGTTTGTATGTACATCTATGCATTCAATTTTTCCACAGTAAAACATAGTTGAGGCCATAAAAAGCATATATCTCCATTAGCATTTGCTCCCTACAGAGAGAGAGGAAAGCAAAAGACCATGGTTCTACTTAATACTTCTTCAGCGTACACATTTTTAAACTTTTAAAATTACATTTCTTTATCTGTGTGTGCTTATGTGTGTGTACCTGAGTGGACACAAGCACCACGTGTGTGTGTGTGTGTGTGTGTGTGTGTGTGTGTGTGTAGCAGAGGACACAGCTTGCGAGAGTTACTTCTCTCTCTCTCCATCTTGTAGGTCCCAGGAACCAAACTCAGGTCTGCAGCCTTGGCAGCAAGCAACCCAAGCTGCTGAGCCATCCCACTGGCCCAGTCTATGCATTTTTAGGATGGGGTTGGGGATTACTGTGTACATTTTAATTTATACTTAACAACTGTGCTTAACCATGGGGTACAGTATATTTCAATAAATACAATGTGCAATGATCAAATCAAAACAATCAACAAATTCAACACCTTCCATCTGCTTTGTCTTGGGACCACTCAACCTCTTTTCTTCTTGTTATTATGAAGGATGTAATAATCAAGAGAGACAGTTGCCCTCCACCCGAACAGGACGCCAAAGCTTATCCCTTACACCTAGCTACTCATAGTAGTCTAACTGGTCTACCCGTTAGCCAGCCCTCCTCTGTTTCTCCTCACCCCAGTTACCTGGCAACCACTAGCCTATTCTCTGCTTCTGTGAGATAAACTCAGCCGGCTTCCACACATACATGAGAAGGGAACAAGCTGCCTTTTCTTACATTAACCATGCATTATTACCTTAGCTTTTAAAAATTAAAGTGAGAAATGAGCACGGCGGCGCACGCCTTTCATCTCAGCACTGGGTAGGCAGGAGTGACTGATTCCCTGGGAATTCCAGGCCAGCCCGGTCTGTGCAGCAAATTCCAGGCCAGTCAGATCTACATAATGAGATATTGTCTCAAAAACTAAATTAATTGACTTAATTTAATTAAAGCAAGATTCCATTAAAGGCAGTTAGAGACCATTCCCAATTAAATAACTTTTCACTGCTGCCCTTCATAGCCGCGGTATAGCGGGCTGTTTCTAAGTGGGTCAGCTCTTAATCTTTGGAACGAGGAACGGGAGACGTCCAGTCAGAAAATCGACTGAATGAGTGAGCGGTGTCACAGACCGCGTCGGCAAGAAGCACTTTCAATCCACAGCATCTGAGTATCAGGGCCTCGGCTCGTCCCACGGGGACAGATGTGAAGACTCACCAGGTAAAGGTTATTTTTGTCCTGAAAGGCATACTGTAATTGGGGGATCCAAGGGCTCGTGCTCCGAGATAATATGTTCCGCTCTTCCTCGAAAAATGAAACCTGGAGGGAAAAGAAACTCTTTAGATAATTGTATTAGAACTAAATGTGAAGGGGAATGGCCTTTGTCCGGCCTTACAATCTAAATTGATGTCTCCAGGTTTAAAAAAAAAAAAAAATGACATAGCATGACACTCAGCAAATCTGGTAACCCGGGAGGTTCAGCTTTGCCAGGCCCACGTTTTCCATCCAGCCATGCATGCAGCATCAGTTCACTTCTTCCAAGCTTAAACATCTTTCTCTTTCTCCCCACCTTCACTTCCTGGATGGTTCTACTAGGTGCCGTCAAGCCAAGCCAGGTAGGAGGGTCAGAGAGCCACCAGGCCCAGGCCCAGGCAGAGTGAGGACAGCGGCAAACAGGTGTAACCGCAGGCCAATGTGGAGGGTCACGCAGGAGGAGGGAAGTATCTGTACGTGGGGGAGGATGGCGTAGAGCAGGGAAGGAGACAAGACTACAGCCAAAAAGATGGATGAGACTGTGCCAGGGTAAGAAAATAGTGAGAGGCTGGAGAGATGGCTCGGCGGCTGGGAGAACCTGCTGTTCTTGCAGAGGACCTGGGTTCAACTCCCAGGGAATCCAACACCCTCTTCCAGACTCTGAAGACATACCCATGGT